TTTTTTTTCTTCCTTAGGACTTGGCTCTCAGCAGCTCCTGGCCCACACTGTTCCACCTTTGTAGTCTTATCTGTAGTTTAATTTTCCTTGCATGCAAACTCGGTGCCCAGGATAATTCTTAATTTCTCTCTCTCTCTCTCTCTCTCTCTCTCTCTCTCTCTCTCTCTCTCTCTCTCTCCTCTCCCCACTGTGATGAGTACATTGAAATATGTACATATACATGGATATGAGTGTTCTAGAGAATGCTACTGCATGCCTCATGTCTTTTCTCTGTGACAAATCAAAGTGGGTGAAGTTAGAGACAGTTCAAGAATGAGCCCCATTCCTTTGAGCCATATCAGTACAACCAAAATCCAAAATTTGAGATGAGTACTCAAGAAAGCAAGATGGGCTGGCCACTGTTGTCCTGGGTATCAGACGAGGCCTTTCTTGCTTTTTAGCATCCTTTTCCAGAAGGCCAAGGGGGAATCTTGAAGATGAATCACAGGAAGTGGATTGGGGACTTGGCCTTTGGGGTTCCTAGTTTTCTGGAGCTCCTCAGCTTCATCTTTGCCTTCTTAGTCTGTGATCAACTGCAATGACATGGAGAGCATGTCCACTGTCACTTACATCATCATCAGGCACGTTTCTCTCTCTCCCTACCTCTCTGTTCAATGCACACACTTGCTTCCAGGATACCTGTTGTATACTTTGGTCAGATTGGCCTAAGCAACAGTTCTTTGTTCCAGCTTGTACCTGGGCAGCTGGTGGAACCACCAGGGTTCAGGCTGATGTTGAATAAGAATTCAGAGCTCAGTGTGATTGTTGTGGAATATAAAGTGGTTACTGCAGGTTTGGGGTTGTGGTCACTAACCTGACCTTCCCCAGTTGACAGTCCCTGTGGGTTATAGGAGACATTTTCCTCAAGAAATATTATTCTAGGACATGGCCAACAATGAGAAGTGGTGGTGGGGCGTTGTCTCCTCTGTCCAGATTAGCTAGGATTTTCTTTCCACCTTTCTCTGCAGGGCTGTAGGGCCCCCTGGTGTTTCTGTGGGCCAACACCACCATTTTTATGGTCTTGAGGCCTTCTGATCACCATTGTACTTTCTACAACTAATAGGGAAACTCAAAACATCTTTAGTGTTCTTTCCAAAATCATGTGTGCCTTGATTTTAGTAGTTTATTCTAAGCAAGAATGTAGCAATGGCTACTTTAGAGGCTCTGTTGACTAATTAATGGGAGAGAGAAGGAAAGGCATTTGAAGGTGTAAGTGCCCCACAGATGTGACAGGTGACAGGCACTGTGTACTTTGTGGTGAAATCTGGCTTTAGGCTACCAACTCCTCTAGAACTCTCACCCCTGACATTATTTTTCTCTTCACACTTAGGAAATAATGTAAATCCAAGAAACCACTTAAGAATGACAGAAAAGCAAAAGACAAGATGAAGCAGAACAAAGCCCTAGGCAGCAGGTCAAACAGATGCTCTGAAGGACAAATCTCATGAGAAGCAATTTTCTTTTTGAGAGGAACCACCCACTTTTAATGAGTCTAAATGTGCCTGTAGTTCTTGGTGTAGGGTTGAGACCTTCTGGGCTTTCCCCTACATACTTTGGTGTGTCTATTACTGTTGTCCTTGTTCAGCTCATGTTTAAGCAGTCTTGTTGACGAGACTTTATGGATGCAGCCTCTGAGATTACGAGGAGAGGAGAGAGAGAAAGAGGAGAGAGAAGAGAGGGGAGAGAGGAGAGAGAGAGAGGAGAGAGAGAGAGAGAGAGAGAGAGAGGGAGGGAG